CCCCCAATCATCTTCTCCCCCCCCTGTAACTTTCTCCACTCCTCCCCAATCATCATCTCCTCACCTCCCCTGCCCTGCTGTAGCGTGGCACTGAGTGTGCACTTCCTGTCAGTCCAGCCGGGTCGCGGACCGGAAAGGAGCTCGGCCACGCTACAGGGAAGGGGAGGTAAGGCAGTGCAGCAGCCGTCAGAGCGCTCTCACGGCTGCAGCATTTAAAGGGCCGGCGATGGGGGCGCAGGGCGCCCCTCCTATATGGCGCCCTAGGCGGCTGCCTAGTTCGCCTTATAGGAAGCACCGGCCCTGCCAGTACTGCGTACAGTACTCCAAGTGAGGTCTCACCAGTGTTCTGTACAATGGCATGAGCACTTCTCTCTTTCTACTGCTAATACCTCTCCCTATACAACCAAGCATGCTGCTAGCATTTCCAGCTGCTCTATTGCATTGTCTGCCTACCTTTAAGTCATCCGAAATAATTACTCCTAAATCCCTTTCCTCAGATGTTGAGGTTAGTAGAGTATCAAATATTATGTACTCTGCCCTTGGGTTTTTACATCCACGGTGCATTATCTTGCACTTATCCACATTAAATGTCAGTTGCCACAGCTCTGACCATTTTTCTAATTTTTCTAAATCATTTGCCATTTGACTTATCCCTCCTGGAACATTTGACTTATCCCTCCTGTTAGTATGATATCGGACCTATATTTAGACATGTTCGTCTAGCCTGTTCGTATAAGAAGAACAATTAGGTAATATCAAACCACTGTGAATCGTGTTTTGTCTATTTTTATGCTTGTAATGTCTTTATCCATACATCAATAAAACAAACATTGACAACAACAAAGAAACATTACATATCTTTTTTTTTGTTTGTTTGTTTAAATACTTTATGATATTTTGTATCTTTTCTTTTCAGTATACTGTTTCAAGCTCTTTCACTACTTTGGGGGGCTGCTTTGTCTCAGTATTTTTTCTACACCTGACTCTTCTAGACAATGTGCAGAGCTAGCGCTGTCTAGAAGTGTCAATCTTCCAGCCGACACCAGTGACGGCTGCAGAAATATTAGCTTTATCCATGGAGGATCCTGCTATCCCCCGGGGTCCTCAATAAAACTCAAGGCATTGCATGCAGAGAAATGATGCTGGGGCAGCCGTGTTGGGTGCCAGAGCCTCAGCTTCAATCATTGCAAGTGTCATAGAATCTAAACCTATGCCCCTAAAACCCAGCCCAGTTCCAAGAGCACTTTGCCATGGCCTGTGTTGTTTTAATAGACCATTCGGCACAGCCTCTAGGCATACTAGGCTTGCTTACAAGTCCCTACATAATGCTGCTCCAACCTAACTATCCTCCCTAATACACAAGTATGTCCCATCGAGGCCCCTACGCTTTGCCAAAAACCTACGTATATCCTCTGTCCGTACTCCCACCTCTAACGCTCGCCTCCAAGACTTTTCCAGGGCTGCACCTCTTCTGTGGAACTCCCTCCCTTCTCCGTAAGAATTTCACTCAGTCGCCACTGATTCAAAAAAGCATTGAAAACTCACTTCTTCAAGAAAGCATATCAATTAAACTGTTAGCAGGTTTTGATCCCCCACCCTCCATGACTCCACCCCTGCAACTGTCAAACAACCTACTTCGTACCCCTACGTTTACCCTTTGTGCCACTATACCCCACTCCCTCTAGAATGTAAGCTCATGGAGCAGGGCCCTCCACCCCTCTGTTCCTGTACGTCCAGTTGTCCGGTTACAATTACATGTCTGTTAGTCCACCCATTGTACAGCGCTACGGAGTCTGATGGCGCTATATAAATAATAAAATAATAATAAAAATAATAATAAACCCATGCCAAAATCCAATTGTTGCCCAAGCCTAGCCTATTGTTACAGAGCCAAGCACAGTGAGTTCAACCCTGTGTAATTTACAGAAATGCCAGAACTGAACAATCGCGCAAATAGAGTCCTCCCCCGGTATAAAAATTACGTGAGTCAGTCTTGCATTGCTTGCATGGGTATAGTTTACTAGACAATCCAACTTTTTTAATTATTATTTTTTTAAAAAGGTAGTTTGACAAGAAACAGAGAGATTTCACCCATAGTTCCCTAGTACTCTAAACATAAACGCTAGCTCATTGTCTTAATGAACAGGTACTTTGCAAATTGTTCTGAAATACATACTTATTCCCTGTCGTTTCTCACATAGGCAATACTTATATCTATTAAAGTTGCTCTTTTTGAAAAGTGCCAAAATGTGACCATTAGAAAGGCAAAAAGTACATTCTCAGTATAGAAATGAAATCTTTCAATGTTGACAAGGTCTGTTTTAACCTGAGGTAAAAAGTTAATTAGCAGCAGGGGAATTAAATATTTCTCTAGTTCCAACCACTATACAGGATCTGACCACTAGGGAGCAACATGTGCTTTTGCTAAATGGGAACTTGTTCTTTCACCGTGACTTGTCTATATCACATCCAGAAAAAAAGATCTTTATTAAAGGGTTTTTCCACTACCCCAATATTTTTTTTTAAAAGCACAATTAGGTAGATTTACCCCCAACACAAACATATGCATTAATTTAATTACTCATGTAAATCTAAAAATATCTGGCAAACGCTGCAGATTTCTTGTCTTTTGCCTCCTTTCTCATCCCATACTTCCTGTGGCTGTTCAATCATAGACTTCCCAAAGCTGCTCATCTGTCACGGTTGTCGTTACCCTTACACACAGGCAAAAGGTTACCCACAAATTGAGGGTCCAAAAGCCATATTACCAGGCATTAGAGTGACCGGATTTAATGGATTACAAGAGAGCATTTAAAGTCAGAAATAGCCGAGGTCAAGAGCACAGACATATGGATTCACGAAAAACAAGCCAGGTTAGGATACTAGAAATACACAGCTCAATATACAGGCCAGGTCAGGATACCAGAGGTTACTAATGACATTTGTGTTGTGTTTTTGTATTGTGTAGTGTCATTTGTCATTGTTTTCACTTTGACATTTTTTTGCACTGGCACTTTGTTATATCTGTATAGCTGAAGCTGCTGTCCATAGGGGCCATCGTGCCTTATTTGGCTTTTTAACATTGTATTGCGATTTTGCACCTTTTTGTGTGTGCTATTGCTTATTTTACCTGGATTTATTACTAAAAAAGTGTATATTTTTCTTACATCTATTTGTCCCTCCTATCCATGGGAATCTCCAGATTGAATTTAACTTTGTGATTGTGGCGCCCTGTTTTTTCTGATTTATTAATCAGGATTCTGTGGTTGTTTGTATAGAGGTTTTGGAGTGACCTCATGACAGTGGCTTGCCTACACTAGTTTGATATTATTTCACCACCCACCCGTACACGGTTTTTGTTTATACCAGAGGTTAACAGAGTCAAAACGAAGCCAAGGTCAATAACAGGAAATCACAAGAGAGTGACAGAAGCACTTAACAGAAACCACGATAGGGCATTGAGTAAGGGCCTGAACAGGCTTTAAATAGGTTCACATGTATTCGCCTAAATGACGTGGTTCCTTTAAGGGTGAGACCAGTGCTATATTTAGGATTTGTGCTGGCCTAGGCAGGACGGTGCTCGGGCACCCCCCCTTAATGTAAATTTTCCCAGCCCCTTCCAGTCAAGGCCGCACTTTGACTGACAGACGCACACACTCACTGATAGATGCATACACTCATTGACAGACACACACTCTCATATACAATGACAAACAATGACAAACACACACACACTCACTGATTTGACACACTGATAGACAGACACACACCATTACTCTGTCACACACTGACAGACCCACACTCTCACTGACAGACGCACGCACTGACAGACGCACAAACTCACTGACCAACACATACACACACACACATTCACT